TATATTTTTTTTTTTTTTTTCTTTTTCACTTTTGCCTCAAATATATTTTCTATTATTACAATGTTACCCTCCCGCATGAACGACTCATAGAATGGTTAGGATTTCGCGTTTTTCTCGAAACGCAGCACTATAAATACCCAAACAAGGGTTTTGTCGCCACAGGTTCATATTCAGGGTTCATCTTCTGCACAAAACGTCATCGTTGAGAGAAGCGTGACAACCTTCGTCATTCAAGATGAGAGCTAAGGTTAAACGCTTTTCCTTTGATTATTCATCTTTCCTCCCTTATTGTTTTTGTTGATTTTCAAAGCTTCTATAATCGTTGTTTTATTTCAATTTGTTTATATTTTACCTGTTACGAGCCTTTTAGGATCTGAGCATTATTGCGAAAAGTTCTAGATTCTTGGGAATTATGATGATTCACTCGATTGTCTAATGTTTGATTTTTAGTTTTTTTTAGCATTGATTTTGCCTCGGAGAAAATGGTTTTCATGATGAATTCGGTGTAAATCTGACTGATATGATGTATGCGGTTTGTTGTTGTCTTCAATTTGAAGGATTTTGATGCGCTGTTTGTTTTTGGGAATTGTAAGGAGATGATGTTGATATGGGTGTTGGGTAGAAAGGGAATTGCCGCATGTATTTAATTTGAAATCGATTAGATTAGTTTAGATGCGATGTGATTGAATGTTGTTTCATGGGTAAGTATTGTTGTATACAGTGGAAGCCTGTTTATCCTTGTGCTGCCATTACTGGATGCTTCTCGTATTGCCTTAATGACAGGAAAATATTGTAGTAAGCCATTAAGACTTCGGTGAAAGTGTTTGATTTCATAAGGAACGAGTTTAGGTTAATCAAACATCTTGAACGCCTTGGTCTGACTTAACTTGTGAATTGTGTTATGCATTTGAGTTCAAATGCACCTGATTGGTTAGTACTTTTGTTTGCTCAAATCAACGGAAGGGAAGGGAGGAGACAGTACCATTAATGGAGGGGGGTAGGATAAATAAAATTTCAAGGATAATTATGTCAACACATTCCAATATTGGAGGGAGACAGAAACGGAAGTGGAGGAATTTTTGCCCTCTCTTTTTTCCTCCCCTCTCCAAGTTTTTGAACCAAACCATGTAAAATTTAAGATTCCTACCTTCTCCTCTCCGTTGAAATTACTACTACAAAATTCACTGTTAAGGAAAGTGAAGAAGATGGTATTCTGGAGAGTAAAAAAGGAGGGAATTGGGCTCCTCTAAAGTGATTGATTGGTAAATTAAAGGTTGAGATTGTAATTAAATGCATGCACATGTATAATAAACTATGCAGTTGTTCAAGGCTAAGGAATTTATTTTTCCTATCAATGGCTATAAATCATCACTTTTTTTCACCCTAGAGGAGCTAAATCCTAAAGCTCTAGAGTTAAATTCTAGATGAAGGGTGCCATATCTATGTTGGGTATAATTAGCCATATGTTACTTTTGAGTAGCGCGGTAGTGTATAAATTTGTGTTTGAAGGCTTATAGACATTGTTACATCAGCAGAATAAAACATGTTTCATTTCATTCTATGCTGCACGATATCTTTGTTCTTTGCCTATATGGCTGTTGCCCCCAAGTTTCTATTTTGCCTTTTTCTATCAGACTAACACAATGTTGCTATATATCAGTGGAAGAAGAAGCGCATGAGAAGGTTGAAGAGGAAGCGCCGAAAGATGAGACAAAGATCTAAGTAGAGTGCATAAGCCAGGGTTCGAGATGAGCTTTCCATCCTTGGCATTTTAGGCTGTTATGGCTCTTAGGATCTTGAGGTCTAGTTGGGAGGGGAGGTTTATCTCTTGACTTAGTTTTAGCATTACTGGACTAAGACTATTGAGTGTATTAAGTTTTTATATTGAGCGTTTTGTGGTATCTAAATATATGCTGGTTTTGTAGACTTATTAATTTATCTTAGTAGTTTATTTTGAGACTTGCATGAAAATTTGATCCGATTTTATGTTTTAACCCCTAATTGTTGGCTAATGTTGAATCTTGTCTCGTGAATAATGAATCATGCTTAGAATTATTAATATATAATGACTTGTTTGAGATAGTTAAAGACCCGATTTATCAGTTATGCCAAATTATCTTGAGTTTAGAATGAGAGTCATGGAGTGTAATAGATGCTTGGTGTGTGTGATTTAGTTTATTTAGAGTTGGAATAGGGTTAGGGCCGATAAAATGGTCGGTCCGGCTAGTTTGCCCGGTTCATCTCAATCTATTTTTTAAGTTGTCGGCTTGACTTATCTTCTTAAATGTTCTAACTTGTCTAGTCTGGCCAAATTCATCACAGGATGAGGGGTTAACCACTTACCTAATTTTTTTTAAAATAACTAATTTAAAATAATCTTTAATCTAAAATAAAACTAGACAACCTATATATTATACATATAACATTAAATTTAATTAAAAAGTGCATAATTTTAAATAATAAAAAAGTAAAAAAAATTATCATTGAAGTGATTATCCATTAATATTAAGTTTCATCAGATTTAAACAGATAAATATAGTAATTTTATATTATTTAATATCAATTTATCTTTATAAAAAAATGATATCTTAGTAAAATAATAATACAACAAGATGGATTTGATTGATTCACGGGTTAGATCGATGATTAACTTGATATATTTTAGTTACTCCAAAAACAAATATTTGGAATTCATGACTTTTGGAAATCACGATTCTGAGTATGGGAGGAAATAGGTTGAGTTGTTCAACAAAAGTCTATTATCTAGTTTATTAGACTAAGATTAAGTCAGTTATTTTTTTAATTAGTTTGTAATTTTATTTATTAAAGTTTATTATTTAAAAATATCATTTTCTAAACCATTTAATAAGTCTTTTAAATTTACTAGTCCAACTTTTTTAAATAAGTACTTGTTACATCTAATGTAATATAATATATTAGTTATACATTAATTATTTTTTAAATATTAAACATGTTGACTTATACTTAATTAAGATAAAGTTAGTTATTCTTAAAGATCTAATTACAAAATATATTTTAAAACACGTACCAAAAGAATATATTTTGAAATAAATTATTATGAAATTTTATATTAGATTATAAAAGTATATATGATATAAATAAAGTTGATTTGATTTTTATAAAATGTAGCATATTTACTTTTACTTATTAGTGTTAAATTATTATAAACTTGTAGGTTAATATTGACTTGTTATCATTATAATTCTTAAGAATTAAAAAAGTTGCATTTAATTTTTTTTTTAAATCATATGTTATATACACATTCCATTTTTCCTATATTTTTTAATGTCCTTTTCATTTATTTTTTATAACTATTTTTTTCTATTCACTCGTTCTTCCTCTACTTTTCAATCGCCTGTCTATCTCTCAAACAACTTTTTTTTCTTCTCTTTTTCTCGTTTAATTTGAACCTCACTAACAATTAAGACGGTCACCGGTTTACTTTATTATTTTTTAAGCCTTTTTTTTAATCTTAATTTCAACATTTTAATTGGATGAATTTTCAAATGTATGATGCATTAATTTTATAATAAATTATAGATTAAAAATAATATATTTTTATTATTTCCAATTTAAAAATTGTTTGTTGTAGTTATAAATATATTTTAAAAAAGTACTTTTCACTTTCAAGCAGTACATTTTTATTTTTCTGAAAAGTATTTTTCGAAAGCATGTTTCAATACCTAATTAAAAAAAAATACACTCTAAAAAATATTTTCTGAGAGGATAATATTTTCAAGATTAAAATATTTTTATTCCATGTAAAATAATTTATTTTTTATTTTAATTTTTGTAAAAAAATTTCTTTATTTTTTATCTTTTTAAAATTTGAAAATATTGTTTTTGATAAAAAAAAGGCAAATTTTTGTTTTGATCTCTATAGAATATTTTTTTTTTTTTTATTTCTCTAAAATTTAACATTACTATTTTTGATCTCTAACAACTATTTTAAGGTGTATATATAATATTTATTTTAATAATTATAAAAAAAATTAGAAGTGCCACAAGTAGATAATTAAATTATAGTTATGAGTATTATTTACGATTGTCACATAATCTTCTAATAAGCATATATGTAGTTCAAAAAATCATATATAATAAGTATTAAAACCACAATTTTAAAATTTTGAAGAATAAAAAATAAAGATTAAAATTTATAAGAACCAAAATGAAAACATAACATTTTGTAAAGACTATGAATATATTTAAGTCTATTTTTATTTAATTATTTATTACACCAATTAATGATTAAAATGCAAAAAATAACAAAACAATTTAATTATTAAGTATTGATATTTGCATTCTTATGGAATTCTAAGTCAAGTGATGCATTGAAATTTAACACACCAAACTTGAAAGTCTTGAACTAGTATGAACATAAAATATTAAAAATCAATACTGGCTAGAAAATAAACTACAAAAATTAAAATAAAAAAATATAATTTTCTAAAGTAACACCCTGCTCACAAGGATATTGTATTGACATAGGCACATCCCAAGGGGCGTTGCACATGTTCAAATATGAGGATAGAATCGATTACTTCATTCATCTATTAGCTTCCAAGTTCTAAATGAAATTGCATCAGATGAGTCATGTTATGTTTGTTCAGTCATATTTTGTCTCACTATCTAATCATGAAATGAATTATGCAGAATACTTTCCTGAAGCAGAAGTGGGTTTGTTAGTGAGCACATATATAATATAATTGGATTCAGGTGACTGAAGGAACAGGAATGAATATTTGATTTTGAATAGATAATCATCCTTCACCATGTTGCGCATTTTGGTGAAGAAAACAGGGTTTATATATGATGGTGGTGGTGGTTGATATCAGTGTTAAACTGCTCATGTCTAAGTCCCACACTGCTGAGGAGAAAGAATATGCAAAGTGGAATTGAGAATAAAAGAAGCAGCATGTCAGTGAAGAAAGCATACCTTTCTCGGCCTTTTGGCTAAGATCAAGTGTAGTATCTGTTCTTATCAGTTTAATATCTGATATGTGGGCCATTGGTTCACACGATATTAAATTTATTTTTTAAGGGGGGAGAGTCCACTACAGTAGCTTGCTACTGGGCCTCTCATGTGTTGCCTATGCGTTGCACTACAGCATGGGCCTGACACGCCCCACCTATTCAGTTTAGACATTTGCTATGTGATCTATCTTCAGATGCTAGAATCCTTTCTATAGATAATAGTGATGGTAGTTGTTCTCTAATTTTGTTATAGTATTGTTGCTGATCGTGACTTTGAAAATTATAGTTGACACACTCTGATCTAATCACGTTTTGATTAAATCTACGTACATTTTATTACATATTTAATGAGGGATTTCTTTTCTATATGAAGACCTTCATTTTTCTGTCTTGTTAAAATAACTTTTATTACAAATATTGATTCTACAATTTAAAATAATTTATTTTAGAAATAAATTATAAAAAGCTTTGCAACTTGCAAGTCTTGACAATTACCACTCTCCATGGAACAAAAATCAATTCTTTCAATTAAGTAATTCTTTTTTAAAGTTTATTGCATCCTTGTATGTATTAGGAGATCAAAATTTACTAATTTCAGTAATTTGCAGTCCAAACATAACTAATATATTTTTCCAGCTAAATAATTTATTCTAATTATATAAGATTATTAAATTAATTTTTATATAAGAGGATCTAATACAGTGGCTTTCATAAGACAAAGGAGAGGTTACAAAAATTTTAATTAGTGTAATAGTTAGTGTGTTTTAATTGAACAAAAATTTTAATTTTAATTTGAGATCAAAATACATTGTTGTATGATATCAATATATACATTAAAACTGGATGTGATATCAATATATACAATCAATTACAACATAAGAAAATCAATACTAATAATAATGATAATTTAGATATGATGACAAGTCCTTATCAATGACATGAAAACAGAATGAAATGGAGTCACAATTAGATGAGAAGTGGATTGGAAAAAGAAAAAGAAAAAGAAAAATGAATGAGAAGGTTATCTAGAAATCTTATGTGAAAGTTGAAAGAGATAGAAACCTCTCAAAAAAAAAAAAACTAGGAAAACAAAAATTAAATTGATACATAGAGGGTGACGGGTGACCTAGACACACATAGTGTAATCCAATTAAATTGCACAATCATTGGATCCCTGGGCCTCGAGTTTTGCAGTTTTAGAGAGTTTAGTTAAAAATAAATAACTTCACTTTATATGGGTGTTAAATTTTGATTTTCTATTTTATAAATTTTTTAATGTATTTCTCAATTAGTTTTATATTTCATTTAAGTGTATATATATGTCAAAAATAAATTAATACAATGATATTTATTGATACTAGTAGGATGAAAGGGATTTTATGCCTTCGAGAGAAGAAAAATATTTTTAACAGTTAATTATTAAACAACTTTTTTTAGTTACATATAATTTTTTTATTATAGTTAACTAAAGGATAAAATTAAAAAATAATTGTGGACACCAAAAAGTGGTATACTTTTTATTATTAGCATATATATGTATATGTAAAATAATTTTATATTCACATGTATCTTATACTATTTTAATATATAAATATTTGTTTTAAAATTATTATTTTTATAAGATATTTATATTTTTTTAAGAAGAGTTATAACCCGTTCCTACTAAATTAACTTTTATAAGAATAAAGTCATACATAATATTGTGTAAGCAATAAGTATTATATCAATTAGTGTGAAAAAATAATAATTATATTAGTAAATATTTTAATAGAAAAAATTATACAATTTAATTTATCCAAATACCACAGCTTGGGCAATGTTAATACTTTTATATAATAATTTATCTAAATACCCTAGCTTGTACAATCTATGTAATTTGATTTATTTTTTTTATCATCATTTTATTTTTTATTTCTCTCTTGAGCATTAGTTAGCTAATCAATTTTAAATAGTTTGTTATTTCAAATTGATTTTTTGATTATTTAAGACATATAATAAAAATTACTCAAAATTGGGCTATTTTACAAATTATATTACATTAAACTTAAACTATCTTTTAGAAGGATATCAATATCATATATATATATATATAAGGGGGATTCACTTACTCCATTTAAGAATCTAAATTGTACATCAAATTTCAATGATCTAACTATTAAATTAAAATTTTTAATGTATAGATTAAGTTTACATATTTTTGAAAAATTTAAAAATTATATAATACTTCATGATATATATTCAAATCAATGTATAAAATATTTTTATGATTGTCCAATAAATTGAATTAATCAAAGTATCAAAATTTTTAAAAAAAAATTGGCTTGATTTATTAACAAAGAACTTTTAATTCAATAATTGAATTATTGAAATTTAATGTAGAACTTCAGTTATTGATTAAAGTAAATCTTCTAAGATTTACTCTTGGGGAAAGTATATCCCTTCTCTTTCATATATATATATAGGATAAATTAATTGATATAGTCGTTAAATGTTATTATTATAAGTAAAGAAGTAAGGTTCAATTTTTATCTTTTGTGATCATCAAACTTTGTTCATATTTGTTGTGTCAATGAGATAATGATAGTGTTATCCTATTTTGATGTAGTATATGCTCTATTTCGAAGGGAGAGTTGAGTCGGGATATGATATAATGGTCATTGTTCCGATATGTCTAAAAAAGTTTCACATCGCTAAAGAGTCAAGATTAAGAGTAATTTATAAACACTTTTCTTCTTTAACCCACTAAGATACTTTTTCAATGATAAAATTGTGACGATCCAACGAGCACCAAAGACGACTATTTGTTGTCCCGATGGGATATCATAATATAATCCTACCTTTTATCTTATTCTATTGGTGTATTGTATTGTCTATCATGAAGGGGAGATATGATAGTGTTATCCTAAATATGATAGTCTTATCCTAAAACTATGATGGCCCAATGAGATTTTGTTATCTCAACGAGCACTAAAACAGATAATACTTCGAATACGGTGACCTTAATGATAATAATGGACTTACAATTAGAGCATTAATGCTAAAAGGAGGGCCTAGGCCACTCTTGTCCCTTAGCATCGATTGTGGGACTTGTTCCGATATATCTAAAAAGGTCTCACATCGCAACCGTGACGGCCCAACGGTTATTTGTTGTGCCAATGGGATATGATAATAAAATCCTATCTTTTATCTTATTATATTGGTGTAGTGTATTATCTATCATGAAAAGGAGATATGATAGAGTTATCCTAAACCTGTGACGACCCAATGAGCACCAAAGTAGACAATACATCGAATACAATGACCTTAATGATGACAATGGACTTACGATTAGAACATTGGCGCTAGAAGGAGGGCCTATGCCACTCTTGGCCTTTAGCATCGAATAGGGGGCTTGTTCCGATATGCTTAAAAAAGTCACACATTGTAATTGTGATGGCGCAATGATTATTTGTTGTGTTGATGGGATACGATAATATGATCCTATCTATTATCTTATTCTATTGGTGTAGTATATTGTCTATCATGAATGAGAGATATGATAGTGTTATCCTAAAACTCTGATGGCCCAACAAGCACCAAAACGGATAATACCTCGAATACGGTGATCCTAATGATGACAATGGACTTACAGTCAGAACATTGGCACTGGAAGGAGGGCCTGAGCCACTTTTGTCCCTTAGCATCAACTACAGGCTTGTTCCGATATTCCTAAAAAAGTCTCACATCGTAACCGTGACAACCAACCGATTATTTGTTGTGCCGATGGAATATGATAATATTATTCTATCTTTTATCTTATTCTATTTGTGTAGTGTATTGTCTATCATGAACGGGAGATATGATAGGGTTATCATATCATATTTGGTGTAGTATGGGGAAGTTGGGCTAAGAATTATTAGAATAGGATAAGCTCTCCTCATTTTTTATATACATTATCTCATATATTATATTATATAATACTATTTTTTTTATATTAAATATTATATTATAAAAATAACAATATATATAATAAATATATAACATATAAATTAAATATTAATTTTATAAATATGTTATATAATTGTAGTTTATATACCAATATATATAATATTATAGTACATATCACAATGTATATATTTATTTATATAATATATATTATAAAATTTTCTTGGAATATTTTATTTTATATATAATTATTATAATTTGAAATGTAAAATTAAAATATATTATTTACTAAAATATTAAAATGAAAAATATTATTTAAATTATTTAAAGGAAAATATGAAACATAATTATAATTTAGAAAATTAATTAAATAGATGGAAATTTATTTTTATATAATAATAGTTAAAAATATGTTTCTTAATTTAAACTTTTAAAATAATTAAATTTACATTTATTTTTTAAAACTTATATGTAATTTTGTTGTATTTTTTTTATTTAAACATAATTTATGTCATATCTTATTGATTTATATTAAATATAAAATATATAACAGAATAATATTATCTACTTTACCACTATGATGCATACTAACATTGAATATGATTAAAACTTATTCTACTCTTATCACATCCTACTCTTATCTTTTCCTATTCTATTCTCATATCATATTCTAAACTTTTAGAAATCAAAATCAAAATCGTATGATTATCAATTTATCATGTTATACAGATTAAAAATATAATTAATTCTATTTTTAACTTCAACTTTTCTCTTTTTTTACCTATTCAACCTTAACGTGTCAAAATTTGAGATTAGTCAAATTTTATTATTTTAAACTTATTAGAATTTTTTTTTCAGGAAAAAAGTATATGAGACATTTGTTTCAATATTGCATTCTTGAATCACTTTCTTAAAATTATTTTAATCAAAATTTTATTTTTGAGTATATTTAAAAATCTTGTTTGATTAAATTTTAATATTTCTAAGAATATTTGTTACTTGTTAGCAATCATATCTAATATAATTGGATTCAGGTGACTGAAGGAACAGGAATTGGGCGTTGTGGTGAAGAAAACAAAGTCTACCTGTGGTGGCTACTGATGTTCAGTGTTAAACTGCTCATGTCCAAGTCCCACACTGCTGAGGAGAAAGAATATGCGAAGTGGAATTGAGAATAAAAGAAGCAGCGTGTGAGTTTACAAAGCATACCTTTCTCGGCCTTTTGGCTAAGATCAAGTGTAGTATCTGTTCTTATCAGTTTAATATCTGATATGTGGGTCATTGGTCCACACGATATTAAATTTATTTTTTAAGGGGGAGAGTCCATTACAGTAGCTTGCTACTGGGCCTCTCATGTGTCGCCTATGCGTTGCACTACAGCTTGGGCCTGGCACACCCCACCAACCAAGTTCAAATATGCTTATTAAATTTGGGCCTGATACACCGTACCAATTACTTAATAGAAATTGAGAACAAAGAACTAATGAATAATTCTGCTTGATCTATAATATGATATCTTTACATTAAAGCTTAAAATGTATGTTTGAATAAATAACATTTGAATAAATATCATATTTAAGCTGTCAAAAAAGAAAAATTTAAGAGAAATAAATTTGTCTTTTCAAAGCTTTATTGTTTACTTCTTTTCTTGGATTGGGAAAATTCAGTAATTCTCATGACTAATACTGGTATTTTTTCCTGAGTTATATTCTTTATATATTATGTGATTTGTTTTGATGAATAATTTATTATATTCATTTTGTAACTAGATGCAAGACTTTTTTTTAATATACAAAAGTAGCATGCGTGAAATTATAATTATTTTAATTAACAAAATTAATTCATATTTTTGTTTAGAAATAAATTAGCTGCATAATGATGACACAATTTAGTGTCATTAAGAATTTGTTAAAGCATATTGCATATCTTATCTTTCAAGGTGAAAGCAAGTTGTGTTGGATATGTTTATTAGGTACAGAACTTTCACTTGTTAATCTTATTTTTATGGGCTTAGCGTGTTTAAATTGGTTGATTTTAATTTTAAAAAGAAAAAGAATAGTTGTTTCAGATTTCACCTTTAGATATAGCCATTAAACATTCAACATCTAGAACAAAGAAAACTGGATTTAACTTTTGTAAAATTATTTTTTTAACCATGATATTACAATAAGTAATTAAATGTTTGAATAAGTAATTAAATTTAAGAGAAATAATTTCGACTTTTCATGCCTGGATGATTAAATTTCAACTGGTTTATATTTTTTTTAAAGGTTTTATTGTTTAGCAAAACTCACTAAAATTAATGACTAATACTGATTTTTTCCTATACTTAACTTGATTTTTTTTATGAATAATTTATTGTGTTCATCATGTAAATGAATATTTGTTCCTTTGGAAGTTGGAAATTAAAATAAATTTTACTCATTATTATTGGTGTTTCTGAAATATTATAGGTTTTTATACTTAACATTTTGTTTCTGTATTAAATTTTAATATTAGAGATTATGATAATCTTAAAATCTTTCATATGATGAAATAATTTCCTTTATGAGAATTGATCCAGTCATTCAGGATTAAAATGTCAGAGGTTTGTAGTCAAAATTATCAGTGCAGGGAAATATGAGTTTTAGTCCCACATTGGTGAATATAGGGGGAAGTGTGAGGAACATGAGCTATAAAAGAAATGTGTGTGTGCATGTACAACATACTTACCTGGATGGGGTCAATGGGTGATCAAGAAGGCCCATGGCCTAGGGTAGTGACCTCCATTGCACTTAGGAGGGGTGCTATTCTAAGGTCTGTCCAAGTGATAGAGCCTACATCATAATTTGTGGCAGAGGGGGCCTGCGTTCGCGCGGCCCCCACCAGTTTAGTTCAAATTTTGCTTATTTTGTGTTTGGGCTATTTTATATCTTTGTCGTTGGAGAGAATTATTTATTGGTGCTTATGAAAATTTAACTTAAGAATGTTGTATATACAAAGTTATGTTGGATATGGAGTTGACCTGTCTATGTGTTTTCTGTATAAAATCCATTTTATTGGAACTTATCAGTCTTTTTTTTAATAGAATTTTTTATTTTAAATTTTATAGATATATTAAGGTTTTATATGATAAATCTGCAGAGTTTATGTAGTATATTTTACTTTCTGAATTTTGTATTTAGTTCATGGTCCATTTAAAAGTTGTCAATATAAAATATTTCTATTAATAATTCGAAGAACAAGTGTATTAATCTTATTTTTAAATGTTTATATGAAGTACTAGTTAGGTTGAATCAATAAATTAGACATAATATGTTGGTTTATTGTTCATTTTTATGTAATTTTTAACAGCTTGTTATTGCAGTTTTTCTCTAATTTAATTAAGAATTAAAATGTTTATATTTTTAAGGTTTTAGAAGATAATGGAGTTACATTCACATTAGGCAGCAAAAATACAGTTTAGTATGGGTAAGTTTTAATATTGCTTGGCCAAGTCCCATATCGGACAGCAGAATTATTGCATTGCGGACTATGTAACAGAGACATACGAAGTCCCACACCGACCTCCGTCTGAACTAGAAATTGTAAATTCTATTACCCCCAAGAGACATACGAAGTCCCAAATTTGTATTTTAAAGTTTTGTAATACTTTCTGTTTGTCTATATTAGCTATCCATATTCCGCGAGTGTACTCAAATTCAATATATGTCAACAAAGTTTTATTGTAAGTTTCATTGTTTACTTGAATTTGTGAAATCTTAAATTATATTTTTGTTCTTTTTTTTGTTTTTAAATGATTCAATTTTGTCTTTTAATTTTTCTTAAAATGTTCAATGTTATCAACGTTAATGAACATAATTTAAAAATTAGAAAAAATAGTTAATGAACATAATTTAAAAATTAGAAAAAATAATTAAATTATTTAAAAATAGTAAAATTAAATTAAATAATTTGACATTTTTTTCTAGATAAATTTAATTTTTATTTACCTATTTAATAATCACTTTTTAAGATAAGAAAAAGAAAATTCAAATTTATTTATGTAAATTTTTATTCAATTTGATCATATTATTTTTAAAATATTCAATATTGACTTTTCATCTAATTTCATCAACATCATTAATGTCAATTTGACAATTTGGATGAAACTATAACATTAAACATTTTTTTAAATTTAAAGAATCAAATTGAACATTTTAAAAATAATAAAACTAAATTAAATCATATAAATAAATAGAAGAACTTCACAGTATTATCTCTCTGAATTACTTGAATAGGTGGTGATAATTGAAGTAATATATCCAAACCTTTTTGTTGCTATAGATTAAAAAAAAAATAGTACCAAAATAGTACCTTCTCCCAACTTTAGTCACAGTTGAACAATGTACCACCAAGAGGAACTTTTTGACCAGGTATATCAACTAAACAGCAAACCTCATTGTTGCTCATATCATAAAAATGTTGATATATATATATATATATATATATATATATATATATTCTATTTGACATATAATAACACCTAACCATTTTTTAGGAAATCATTATTGGTTTAATTTATTGGATAGCTCACCATTTGCAATATCTCTTTTGAAATACTGACATAAACGCTAATCATATCATCTCTCCCTTCTCCAAATCCATCTGACAAAAGACTCCAAGTTCACACTTTTAGTTTCTGATCCTTGAAATAAACACTCATAATATTTATATTAATATTTTTTTTTTTAAATCTGACAACAGTAAACTTGTATTCTGACTCGAGTTGATGTTCGTAGCTACCAGTAGACACTCGAAAGGAATTTAATAAGATATATTTTACTTGATCCTTGGCCCTTTTATAATAGATTGATATCCTACCTACCCAATCTGCACAAATTAATAAATATCAACTGTTGATAATAGAATGAACAATGAAGTGCCAAAGAAGAACATGTAAAGAAAATGAGCAAAAGAAAGTGGTTCATAACACTTGTGGCAAGATTTTACTCAATGTGTCTATTTACATCCGCAGACTCGATTAAGTTGCATACTCACAACTTTGTGCCATTAGATGTCCCAGTGTGGTCCAAGTTATATATAAATAACATTACATTATCTTACAAGCACCTGATATTTCAAAATCACTAAAAAATAATGGGAAGTAGTGGATAAAATCTGCTGAGATTTTATTATTTATAGCTTGCAGTAAATTATATGTTTTTACCGGAAGGAGTAAGTGCATATATTCACGTGGCAATCAAAATGACATGGAAAGAAATTTATAGAATCAAATCAACAAATGGATAATACAAATCACTTAAAGAACTCAATTCACCAAGAGCCCAAAATAGTGTTAAATCTAAAGCATGGGAGGGATGCAGTTAGCATTAAATTATCTGCTTGAACCATTTCATTATTCATCTGTAAACATTGTATTCAATCAAAATTCCAAGCATTTGGGAACCCTTTTGTTTTACCTGACTAATCAAGCTGAGAAAACACCATTCATATCAGAAGGCAGTCATATACCTACTTAGTACTTACTTTCTGTTATATACTTTGAGGGAATGTCACTACCCTGTTGCTATTAACTCCTTGAGGTCATATTGCATACAAAGTCTTTCAACAGTACTTTGGCTCAGAACCTCTTTCACATATAACTCTTTCAACAGATCGGTTGCTATATCTGTTTCCTCTTCAAAAGCAAGCCCTTCCACAAGAATGGTATAGGTTGTCTCATTAGGCACACATCCTCTGTTAACCATCATCATTAATATCTCTATTGACAAGTCTGTTCTCTGAGCTTTGCAAAATCCAAGTATGAGTGCATTGTAGTTATCAAGATCAGGCCTGTGTTCATTTTCTTCCAAAATCCTGAATATCTTTAGAGCCTCATCTAGCATTCCCTCCCTACACATTCCTCTTATCAAAGATGAATAAGTATAGGAATCTGGAGTAAATCCATACTTTGTCATTTCATATAGCACCTGAAAAGCTGGATATGTGTTCCCTTTCCTACACAGACTTGCAATCACATTCTTGTAAAAATCATGCATAGGGTAGTTTTGTTTATTTCCCAGGCTTTGGATTAGAAAGAAAGCCTCCTGCACGTTACCTTGCTCACACAGCATCGCGATAGCACAGTATGTTCCTTCATTAGGATTACAGCGCCTGTGAATCATTTGGTCCAGACACTGGTAAACAAGATCCACCTTCCCTTCCTTGCAGAGGCGGGCAACGATCGGATTATAGCTAGTAGCAGTCGCCTTGAACCCACTCCTCATCATTTCATCTAAAACCTTGAAAGCTTGTTCGGTTCTTCCATGGAGGCAAAGCGAAGTAATCAATATGTTGTAAGTAACCACCGAGGGAGTCTGGTTCTCTTTATCCATCTCTGCCAGAAGCTTGTTCGCCTCCTCCCACCGCCCCTCGTAGCACAAACTCCTCAGCAAAATGTTGTAACTCACAACACTAGGACTGAACCCTTTCGCAGGCAATTCCCGAAAAAGCTTGACAGCTTCTTCAGTCCTCCCTTCCTTGCACAAACCAGTCAATAACACATTGTAACTAACCAAGTTAGGCTCCCCACCCTTGGCAATTATATCATCCAGAAGCTTCATAGCATCATCCACACCCCTTTCCTTATATGCCGCCTCGAGAAGGAAGGAAAACGTGAATGCATTCGGGACAAGGCCCTTCTTTGTCAGCTTATCCAAAAGCTGCAAGCTCTGATTCAAGTTCCCATGCATACAAAGCCCTTTAACAAGGGTGTTATAGGTAACAGTATTGGTTGGAAAGCCATGCCCCTCCATCTTCTCAACCAACTGAATTGCATAGCCAACATTGCCTCTCTTACACAAAAAATTGACCAAGTGAGTATAAGAGGCTGCATCAGGTATAATACCTGAACCAACCATCATCTCCATAACCCTAACAGCTTTCCTAGCCTTATTGAATTTGCAAAGATCATACAAAAGCTGAGTTGCTTGAGTAACCTCAGGCTTGTGGCCCTTACCCACCATGTACTCTAAGTGGAGAAATGCATCATACATCCTCAGCTCTTTGCCCCTTTGGTCATTCCTCCCACTCCTCCAATTGGGGAGGGTAAAGATGGAATCTTTTGGGGAAATGGCAACCTGGGTCGAAACCCAAACCCTAGAAAAACCCTTCTTGAGGGAAAAAGTGTGAATTTTTGGGACCTGGAAGTGCAAGAAACCGCGGCAACAGGCTCGTTTCGTTTTGGAGGGTAAATTTGCGGCTGGTGACACCGTGTTGAGGAGTGAAGCCATGATTGAAGTAGAAAAATGATGATGAATGAATGAATCCTAGTTGGTCAAGTTTTACAGATGGAACAAAAATCAAGAAACATTGTGGGTTGGTTCTACTTGACAATGTTGCAAGTAGTTTCAAAACTAACTATTGATCCCTCGCGAGAATTAAAGAGTGAGAGAGAAATACCAGTGACGAATTTTCAACTTCAAGTAGGGATTTGAATTCAGCAGCGACCACAACCAGCCACGTTTCTTCGTGTTATCCTAATGCAAATAGTTGCGCTATTTTCAAATTTAACCTTTGATGCATTTTTCCATTAAATAACCTAACATGGGAACCCTCCATGCACAGGTTAAATTTGAGTTAAATTATTAAGAATTCAATATTTTATTTTATAATACTCCATTTAAAATAATTGTTTTTTATATAAAACTTAATTTATAGTATTTGATGTATTAATTATTTTAGGTTTAAATAATGAAGTCATATGTAGTATTAAAATTTTTAAAAAATAAATTTAATTTAGTCACTAAAAAATGTTAGAAATAACCGAACTGATGAGATTTGAAAGATTTTTTTTAGTATTTAGATTCTTAAATTTTAACTTCATTATTTAAGTTAATCCTTTTTTATATTAATTTTGTTTGTTTCATGATCGATCTACGTTCAATTGTTACTTTAATGTGTATTTTTTCTCCTAATTGATTGCTAATCACCTAATATGAATTATAATGCAATGTTATTTAATAAGAAACTTTGTCATGTTAAAGTATTTTGGGTATTGGTGTTCCAATTAAAATGAAAGGTTATTGGATTTCGTAAGATTTTTTATTGTAAGATTTTTCTATTTTAGTCATTCTTAATTTCTTCATATGTTCTGATTACAAGTTTAAGATTATAAATTCTTAATTATTGAATTTAGGATTAAACAAAATAAATGATCGTCCTAAAAGATCTCAACTAAGGATGCATCAGTCGAATATAAGTATTTCGTTGTTGGGTTTTGTAGGTTTACTGTAGTTGAAATTTTTTGTCTTAGACATTTTTAATTTCTTATGTTCAAGTTTAACATTGTAAAACCTAAATAATTGAATTTGGGATTTAACAAAATGAGTGATCATTTTAATAGATACGTTAATCAAATATAGATACTTATATTTTAAATGAAATACCCATGACAATAACATTTAATGAGGACAAAGTGTTCGATGCGAATTAAAAATATTAAAATATTGCATTATAATTCATATTAGGAAATTAAGGGAGAGAATAATCAATCAAAAAATATAATAATTGTCAATGTGACAATTAACTGTTGCTTGATTATGAGATTAACAAAGTAATTAAGTATAACAAAATGATTAAACTACATAATATAGTTAAAATTTAGGAATTCAGATGTCACAAAAAATCTTTCAAGAACCTATCAACTACCTCTATCATCTTTTAGAGACCACATTGAATTTTTATTCAAAATGTTTATAATGCATAAAAAAAATTGTTAGAATAAAAAACTTCATTAAAAGTGGACAACTAAATTTTCTAACAGAAATTAATTATTGACAAAATTAGTAAATAATTTGTATTGATAATATAATTATAAAAAAATATATTGTAAGATGATAAAATTACTATATTGGTTGGTATAAATAAACACACCATATTTATGTTAAATCTTTATTATTGATATCACATGTCTTTTACTAATAAAAAAATAATTTGTAACCAATCAAAAGAAGGAGTGTTTAATCAAGAAAAAAAATTGATATCACAAGTCTTTTACTAATAAAAAAAATAATTTGTAACCAATCAAAGGAAGAAATGTTTAGTAATCAAGAAAAGCAAATAAAGATATTTGATATCACAAGTCTTTTACTAATAAAAAAAAATAATTTGTAACTAATCAAAAGGAGGAATGTTTAGTAATCAAGAAAAATAATAAAGATATTTGATTTTATATGTTATATGTCATTGTTATTGATAATGATATGATAAATAATAATTTACATTATGTTTAATGTGAAAAAAATACATGACAAATAAAATAAAATAAAAATCATTTTTTAATTATTTTTTATATTTTAATTAAATATAAAATAATTGTACATGATTAACTTCATTGTCAATAGTTTTTAGTTATGTAAAAAAACAAAATTTCAGTCTATTAAAATATTTTAACCAATATAATTTTTATAATAATGAGATTATATGTTATTAATAAAATCAGTGTTACTATATTTGTTTAAAAATATTAATATTTATTAAATTAATTGATATCAAATTTAGTCTTCAAATTTTGAGATTTGATATTTGATTCATATGTTATATGTCATTATTATTGACAATGATATGATAGATAATAATTCACATTATGATTAATGTAAAAAAAAATACGTGATAAATAAAATAAAATAAAATTTATATTTTTAATTATTATTATTATTATTTATTTTAATTAAATATAAAATAATTGTACTTTATTAACTTCATTGTCAATAGTTTTTAGTTATGTAAAAAAATAAAATTTTAGTCGATTAAAATATTTTAACCAATTGAATTTTTATAATAATGAGATTATGTGTTATTAATGAGATCAATGTTACTATATTTGTTTAAAAATATTTAAAAAATATTAATATTTGTTAAATTAATTAATATCACATTTATTCTTCAAATTTTGAAATTTTAGATTCGAGTCTTAAATTTATAAAAAATAATTAATTTTAACATTATTTTTATTATTTAAAAAATTTAAAATTTATGTATGTAAAAATATAAAATCACTTTTATATATTTATATAAATTTTTTTTATTAACGGTTGAAAAGTAGAAAGGAAAAGGTGTGACCCACATCTTTTACCTTATTCATTTTTTGGCAATAACAATTATTATTTCTTCGTTATTCTCCTTTCCATTTATTTACTATTTTATTCCAACTAAACGTACCTTATATACAAGAACAAAGCCATGAAGAAGTCTTATATTATGACAACAATTGCAAAATTATATAGATAAAACATGTCATAAAATAATAATCCTTCTATTTTTTATTATAAAAAACATTTTTTTAAAATATAGGTAAATTTAACTATTTTATATTATTTAAGATATTTTCTTTAAAATATTTTTTTAATGTGTAACTTTTTGACATTTATAACAAGAACAATTTAAGAAGAATCTTATTGAAATAATAAAATTTAAGGTAAATAATTAAATTTTTTAATATATATAAAATTAATTATTTTATTTGTAGTAGAAAATAGAGTAAGAATGCAAATAAAAAAATCTTATTAAATAATAATGATGTTTTTGTATTCCATTTAGAAAAGACGCATAATAATTTATATAATATTATGTTTGTCTTAATATCATTGTTTAATATATTTATTAATAATAAAGAAAAATAAAAAAAATGATGTTATAGAAATTGAATACCTGTTATACCAATATCATTTTCCTTTTTAAATAGTATAGGTAAAAGGAAAAAAAGTGAAAAAAAGAAAGAAAGAAATTGATAAATATGATGAAAAATATAGAAAGATAAGGAAAAAAGAATGAAATGAAATGTTGGTAAAAATGGAAATATGTTTATGTTTGGGATGGTCTTATAGGGTCAAAGTACAAAAATGGATCCAAATGAAGAGCGTGTAGTTGTGTAGAATTTGGCTTTGTTTTGCCACCTTTTTCACAAAAAAGAAAAAGAAAAAGTTGAGCACTCACTCACATCACATCATACACTTAACGTAATCCTCTTCCATCTGGAAGCAGTTACCTTCAAAAAAGGTGGCTCCCTCTGTGCCCACTAACCTCCCATCTCACTTGGGTCTCAGACTCCTCAAGGCAGCACTGAATGTGGGTGATTTAAGGCGTGCCCAACAACTGTTTGATAATATTCCTCAACCAGACCCCACCACTTGTTCCACATTAATTTCAGCTTTCACCACTCATGGACTTCCAAATGAGGCCATAAGGCTCTATGCTTCGCTGCGGGCACGCGGGATCAAGCCCCACAGCTCGGTGTTTCTGGCTGTTGCCAAGGCCTGTGGTGCTTCTGGTGATGCCTTGAGAGTCAAGGAGGTTCATGATGACGCCATTCGATGCAGGATGATGTATGATGTTTTCTTGGGCAATGCATTGATTCATGCCTATGGGAAGTGTAAATGCATTGAAGGTGCAAGGCGGGTCTTTGATGATTTGGTTGTGAAAGATGTGGTTTCTTGGACATCGATGTCAGCATGCTATGTTAGTTGTGGATTTCCTAGGCAAGGGCTGGCTGTTTTTCGCGAAATGGGATGGAATGGGGTGAAGCCAAATTCTGTGACTGTGTCTAGCATTTTGCCTGCGTGTTCGGAATTGAAAGATTTGAAGTCTGGAAGAGCTATTCACGGATTTGCAGTGAGACATGGGATGATAGAAAATGTGTATGTTTGCAGCGCACTTGTGAGCATGTATGCAAGATGTTTAAGTGTGAAACAAGCTAGACTAGTATTTGATTTGATGCCTCACCGGGATGTTGTCTCTTGGAATGGAGTTTTAACAGCATACTTCACAAACAAAGAATATGAGATGGGTCTTGCCTTGTTTTCCCAGATGAGTAGTGAAAGAGTCAAAGCAGATGAAGCTACATGGAATGCTGTTATTGGGGGCTGCATGGAAAATGGGCAAACAGAGGAGGCACTGGAGATGCTTAGGAAGATGCAAAATATGGGATATAAACCTAATCAGATAACAATTAGTAGTTTCTTGCCAGCTTGCTCTATTTTAGAAAGCTTGAGAATGGGCAAGGAGGTACACTGCTATGTCTTTAGGCATTGGATAATTGGGGACTTAACAACCATGACAGCGCTGGTATATATGTATGCTAAATGTGGTGACTTGAATCTTTCAAGGAATGTTTTTGATATGATGCTCAGAAAAGATGTTGTTGCTTGGAATACAATGATCATTGCAAACGCAATGCATGGAAATGGAAAAGAAGGGCTTTTGCTCTTTGAGAGCATGCTTCGTTCAGGGATCAAGCCCAATTCTGTCACTTTTACTGGTGTTCTGTCTGGTTGTAGCCACTCAAGGCTAGTAGAGGAAGGACTCCAAATCTTTGATTCAATGGGTAAGGATCATCTAGTAGAACCTGATGCTAATCACTATGGATGTATGGTTGATGTCTTCAGCCGTGCTGGTCGCCTTGACGAGGCATATGAGTTTATACAGAGAATGCCTATGGAACCAACTGCCAGTGCTTGGGGAGCACTACTTGGTGCCTGTAGAGTTTATAAGAATGTGGAGTTGGCAAAAATTTCAGCCAACAAACTATTTGAGATTGAGCCCAACAACCCTGGAAATTATGTTTCATTATTTAACATCCTTGTCACTGCCAAATTGTGGAGTGAAGCTTCAGAAGCCAGAATATTGATGAAAGAGAGAGGAATTACTAAAACTCCAGGCTGTAGTTGGCTTCAAGTGGGAAATAAAGTTCACATTTTTGTTGTTGGAGACAAAAATAACATGGAGAGTGATAAAATCTATAACTTTCTAGATGAGTTGGGTGAGAAAATGAAATTGGCTGGATATAAGCCTGACACTGATTATGTTCTGCAAGATGTTGACCTAGAGGAAAAAGCTGAGAGTCTTTGCAGCCACAGTGAGAAGCTTGCTGTTGCATTTGGGATACTGAATTTGAATGGACAGTCATCTATACGGGTTTTCAAGAATTTGAGAATTTGTGGTGACTGTCACAATGCCATTAAGTACATTTCTAAGGTAGTTGGTGTGACCATCATTGTTAGAGATTCCTTGAGGTTTCATCACTTCAGAAATGGAAATTGTTCTTGTCAAGACTTGTGGTGATTATTTGAATTAAGTTATTGGGATTAAGTGGTAACAACTATATCTTCTGTCTTGCCATAAATACAATTGTAAATTTCAATTCGTGTGTATACAGTGAGTGAGATGGATGACATTAACAATAACACTGTTTGATATGTTCTTTAAAGTTTAAAGTATTTTCAGGTCCAAATAAAAACAAATTTCTCTCTAGAAGATGTCTCTGTGGGGCTGTGGGGACTGTGCATTCAAGCAAATAAAATGATATCAGAGAAATTTTTTTCTGATTATTCTCCGGCATTGATGACAAAGATGTGCTGCATGATTCAGTTGTAGGAATAGAATAGAATACATTAATACAAGTTTACTTAACTTCTTTTTTCAATGATATAAAACTCATTGTATTTGACTTTGTATTCCTACATGGAATATGACAATCAAGAAATTCATTTGTACAAAATTGGTGTAAGAGAAAGAATCCTGAGAAAGTTACGAAATTATTTATTTTGAAATACCCTTTCCATTTGAGCTTAAATGATAAAAAATGGCAATTGCTTACATTTATGGCATGGACTGCAAGAGATATAATGAATCAAATTATATTCATTATTATGATGGGTTAGGTAAGGAATCTGCTAATGACTACAAAATATTACAAAGTGAACAAGTGTACGGTATCAATCTTCAGCAATTTGAATTGTATTAAAGATATCAATATTCTTCTACAAAGAAAGATGCATCCAGGTATAATTGAAATTAAGATTGCTGAACTGATGATCAGGTAGAGCCACAATTGAAATTAAGATTGCTGAACTGGTGACCAGGAAGAGCCACAGTTGCCCCTATCCTACCACTGAAGGTGTGTTTGGATTACAGTTCCATTGAATGTAACCTGCATTTTCTCCGATCTATCAATGTTGTTGCTTCTCCATTTGGAATAAGGAAATGGATGTTTGGTGCCTCTGAAATGGTGATCCAAACACACTAAATTACACTCGGTGCAAACGTCATCGTAGATCTCTTTTTGTTTTGGCCATTGACTAGCTTCCCATGATGCTGCCACTTCAAAAATGAGGACACAATGAAAGAGTTTCTGCTGCCTGAACTTTCTTTTCATTGAAAGCCCGAGGAGACTAGCACAAGGATGGATGGACTGCAATGATTACTCTCATCACTGAAAACTACAAGCTGTTACTGTGCAGTTCTGCTAGTTGCAACACTTCCCGGCTTCATAATCTTCATGCAGAGTTGATGTTATTTTCATATGGTGCCTCCAAACCAATAATTTGTATTCAATCCAGCTTCATTTAATGTATAGTCATCCAACTCATATTGCTCTGATTTTCACTTATCAAATTGTTAAAAAAGCCAACTGTAGTTTCAACAACAGTTCCTTTATACCTTTCTTGCTCCACCTCATATTTAGCCATGCCTGCAAGACATCTGTTATGGGCAAATCGGTGAAATCACTACTTACTTGGTTACAAAGTATGGCCAGCAAGGGACATGCATACCACACTTAACTGGTACAAAATTCAAGAATTCAATTTGGAGAGATATAAACCCGGTAAAAAAAATCTTTCATGATTTTGTCGAAGTTGAAGGAGGCTAGGAGCCAAACAGGACAAACCCAGACACAAGTCTCCAATGACAGATTAACCGCATGACTGTCTGGTACTTTCATTAAATAATGCAGTAATACATATGGCACCGTAAAGCTTAGTCCTAAATTTTGGCAATTGATTAGCATTTAACATCCAGTTATACACATCCAACATCTAACATATTCAAAGCAGATCATTGCATAAATAGCACTTGAAAGGGAAAAAATTGTATGAGAAAAATATTTTCCCCACTAACTTTGGTTGGTTCTGCCCCCTAGCACCATCAGAAGAATGGCCTTCGTCTTTCTTTGATCAGGAGTACCAACTCAACTACAAGACAAATTTTAACCGAAATATCCTGTTGATGGCACTTCATGAATCTTCCCACTTGGAACAGGAACTGTCATCATGGGAGGAAAAGGATATTTAATTATGTCATCATAGTAATCACTTGCTTAAAAATTAAATAAGAATGTGTTTGAACAGGAAATTTAAATAAAATAATTTATTTATTTAAAGATTTCAAATTCTTTGAAGTGAGATATTTTATTTGCATAGAGAATTTACAAGTATTTGAAATCTTAACATTTGTAAAATTTCTTAAAATAATAAAATTTTAAATTCTCTCAAAAAATTTAGAATATAAAATTTTTTATTTTTTTTTCTTATTTCACTTTATATATTTTATTTTATTTCTTATCTCTTTGTGTTTTTTTGTAATTAAATATTTAAAAATATTTTTAAAATTATTAAATATTTAAAAATTGACTAATTTTTATTTCATAAAATTTAGTTTAAAAATCTCAACATACGAATATATTTTTAAAATCAATTTTATTATGATAGAATCAAATTCCCATATCCAAAATAAGAATTTAAAATTTAAGAAACTTAAATTAACTTATCCAACAAAACATTTTAAAAATGATGAAAATTAAAATTAAAGAAATAAAAATAAATTTTTTTTCAAATTCCTTGAATTTCTAAAATCACTCATTCAAACACACCATAAAAGTGCAAGGAGGAATTAAATATTCAATGTTCAACTCTTCAGTGGAAAAAATTGTTTGTCTTGTGAAGCAGTAACTGAATTTTCATACAGGCTTTGTACATACTGAAAATGCATGTGATAAAAATAGAGTTAGACATAGGATCATTAACATGCTTAGATAAAAGTATTAATACCTGCGCAATAAAGGATCAAGTCCTTTCCTTAAAAACTGAAGCAGTATCATCAGAAACCATTGACATATTTGATACAATAGGCAGTGTTTCAGTTATGCCAGAAGAAGTCTTTTTACAACTTAATTCAACTTTTAAGTCATTAATCCATTTCATCACTTTCATGAAATCAACATCAGTATTTACACCCATACAAGCAACTTCATGAAAAGCATTGCGCATATTATAAGTCGTTCTGCCTCAGGATTAGCAATTAAATCACCATAACTACATCTGACTAATGTGTATCTCCGCTTCAAATCTTTCCTCCAACGTGAGAAAACAGACTTAGATGGCACTTACTCTGTTTTCCTTATGAGCTTGAGCATAGAAAGAATATGTCTGCATAAAATGCCTTTAAACTCGAACAAATGACATTCACACTGCATTTCAAAATCTTCTTCATTAAAATGTACACTGAAAGTTACATATTTGATTGCTTCTTGAATCTTTTTACTCTCAACAACAGAATCTGCTGAAACCAAGCCTTCTTTCTTCTGAAAGGCAGCATTGCAATACATTATACAGGTTACCTCTTCTTGAAACTCTTTGAATTTCCCATTGGTATAAACTCTTTGAAATTGGTTCTCAATGCCAAAATGGCTTCTAAAAGGGATTAAATTATTAAAGGAACTAAAATCTGCTAAGCACTGTTTTTCAACTTTATCTTTCATAGCATTGTCAAACTGCTTTAAGCTTGTCTTTGAGTAAACATATCCATCAAAAAAAGCATGCATACTTTCATCTCTATCTACTGTGACATTCCAGCCCAAAATGATTCTTTGACATACACAGGAACCTAATGTTGGCGCTCATTATACAGGCTATTCAACCATTCATTGTCATGAAGGTTATAACTATAAGTTATTTTTTTCCAACTTTCATCGAAATCATCTTTACAAAAAGAATCGTATACAGCACCATACAAATCTGTTTTGATTGACTCATACTGAGGATATTGTCTCAACTTTTCAGTTACCCTTTTCATTATGTGCCACAAACACCACCAATGACTAGCTTTTAGGAATACAATCTCAATTACAGTTTTTATTGCTATATCTTCAGTTGTGATGATGGCATTTGGCACATGTCCAGACATACATGCCAGCCATGTCTGAAATAACCATGTTAAAGTTTCAGCATCTTCATTTGACAACAAAGAACAACCCAGTAATACTGATTGTCCATGGTGATTCACTCCTATAAAAAGAGCAAGAGGTATGTTGTACTTGTTTCTTAAATATGTGGTGTCGAAAACTACCACATCTCCAAAATATTCATTTGCAGCCTCACTTCTTGCGTCTGCCCAAAAAACATTTCTTAGTCGGCAGTCATCATCCAAGTCCATCACATAATAGAAGCCACTATTCATCTTTTGCATATGAACAAAATAGCTTTGAATAGCTTCAGCATCTCCACTCTCAAATCTTAGCCTGCTACCTTTCTGAATAAAGGTCCTATGATTTTTATCAAAAAATCCTCTGCTTTCATGTTCTCCAGCTTCAACAACTAGAGATTGAATACTTCCATCCTCATTGATCTCAGCTGGACTGCGAAGATCACGTTTCCTTTTCCTTTGAGGCTTAGATTTTTTAGTATATTTAACAAGCCGTGCTCTGCTTGTAAGTATTACACCGCTCAATAACTTTATATTAAATGTGAATTTTATAAATCCAACCGTTAGATTTATAAAATTCACATTTAATATAAAATTATTGAGCGATGTAACACTTAGTAAAAGTTATATCGGTGTCGTTTGAACCCTTCTCTATATGAGGGGGTTATAATAACACCGGTGTAACTTTTACTAAGTGTTACACTGCTCAATAACTTTATATGTTAAATGCGAATTTTGTAAATCCAACTGTTAGATTGAAAGTTCATATCACTTAGATCATATATACAAAATTTTATATTAGTCCAAGATGATTTGATACTTCATTTTTATAAAACAAAATTGACGTAATATATTCATTTCAAAATACACTAAAATATGAACACTTTGATTACCTTCAAGTTGTTCAATTTTAACAAAATTTGATATACACGTATAAAGTGAGAGGAACTTTCAATCTAACGGTTGCATTTACAAAATTCATATTTAACATAAAGTTATTAAGCGGTGTAACACTTAGTAAAAATAATATCGGTGTAATTATAACCCCCCTTATATATATATATATATATATATACATGTTATTTCAAAAGAACAAGTCTCACATTACTTGAACAACTCAAGTGTTGAGCCTTTATATATATCAAAATGCTCCTAATACTTTTAAAGGAACAAATAAAGGATGTTAGGTTTGTGCATATGAGAATAGGCCTTGTGAGCCTATTCAAATTTGTTGATTTGCTTCTCTTTGTAAGTGTGAAAATGGGATCTAAAAATATTTTTATTTTTTATTACATTAAATATTTTAATTAATTGAGACAAACCTTATTTTTTTATTCTCTATTCCGTGGATAAGTTCTTAAAAAGGTCCGTGTCATTACACGTCTTAGGGGATTTAATTATCATGTTTGTTCAGTATTTTAGATTATTCATCAGTGCATCCGCCATATTAATCGACAATAATGATTATGTTCAACTGCAACACTTAAAACTCTGATCTTTCCATCCAGACATAAAAATGCATTAATTCTAGCTTTACATTGGGTTTTTGCAAGAAGATATGGAATCAGAAGATGCCTTCGCTTGCTTGCAGACCTCCTGGAACAAACACAAGCAAGTGTAAAATATTTCTTCCCATCTTCCTCCATTTTTGAAGTTCTTCTATACACTCCAAAACCCTTCTGCTGAGCAAAACTAGTATAGTAATAAATCCAATAAAACAAGTGCAGTAATAAACAAAGTTTTAAAATTAGTAAACTAATTTAAGTAGCTAACATAAAATTATTGGTCAATTGTCTGGTACCAATTACTACCTCCATCCCTAATTATAAGTTCCTTTTAATTTAATTACACCCTTTAATAAAATTAGTTAATTTAGTTAAGAGCATTCAATTTATCAATAATTTAAACTACTTTTTTAAAGTTGTCCTTAACATTTCTTACATTAATTTTCTCTCTTTCCACTTAATCATTTCCCACCTAATTAATTAATGTTTGGAAGGGAGAGATATTTATGTCTATTTATCTTCTTCAATCCTAATATGAGAAAGAAAGTTTTTATCCAATTAATTTCAAACATTTATTATCTTTTGTCTAAAAAAAATCTTAATACATATAAGAAGTTCTCTAACTTTTTTTTCCACTTAAATTGAAATTGAACATTTCCCATCTAATAATTTGCGATCTTATTTATTGCACCGATATTAATTGAATTTAAAATTTAAATATACAATTAATTTGCACCCATTAACATTTTAAGCATGCTACACATTTCAAATATGCATTTAACTCACACCCATTAGCATTTGGCATGCATCAATGTTCCCAATGAAACACTTAATTTATAGAAAAATGAGAAGGCCAAATGCAGGTTGGGGCTTC